AACACATTTCAGTCTGAAATATTTAAAATAAAGAAATACAATCCAACTTTGGCATTTCATTTATTTAGAAAATAAATAGATGGTGATCCACCGCGCTGAACAACGAGACAAATAAGATGATGGTTTGATGTGCATACAGTGGGGCTATAGTCTTACAGAGAGACTTCCTCTCATGTCTCCATGGAAGACGCTGCAGCCCTACATGAGTTCATGCTTCTCAAACTAGGAGGGCAAAGGAGACTAATGGTGCAGCCCTCCACAGGGACAGCAGGAGCGTGGGGAAGATTGAAAAGCACTTATAGTAGTATAGGCTCTGAAAGAAATGACACATTTCCTTTCTAAGTACCTTTTGGAAAAATATCAGACTATTGTTTTCAAAAGAACTTAAAAATAGATCTTGGCAAAGATGAACATGTTTCTAAGGTTCTGGTTTTAAGGAAAGATTTTTTTTTTCCAGATTGACGCAGTCTTGGAACATCAAACAAGATCCCTCTACTAGAAAAATGGGTAGAATAGGCAGCAAGCAAAACATAAAATGAGTTTAGGTACGCGGATGTAGGTTGTCAAAATAGTGAAGAAAGTTAAGCTGTTTTACTTCAGTCAGAGAGGGACTTAGACATTCATCTAGGCAGAAAATATTGTGCTTTTTGGAAAAATAAAGCATCTGATCCTGACACTTTGGGGATTATATCGTTCATTAGTATCATCCTAGAGTTTTTTAATAGTTTGCTCCTGTAAAATGTTACTAAACTGTTTAATTGTGACTAGTAGGTTTTGTTTCCAGTTTTCTGAATAGTAAATTTTTTTAGTCTGTGGAATTTGTTGATTTTTTAAAATAAACAGCCCAACCTAAGCCTGTTTTTATAACCATTTTTTTAAACCAATGAGGCATGTTCTGACTACAATACAAAACAAATTTCTATATTACCTAGTAGAAATTATACACCTTTGTTTAATATCATAGTTTCTTGAGAGTGCTGGAGTATTAGGAGTTAAATTTAATATCGTTTTGATTTTTATCTCAGAAGTGGGAGATTTTAATGCGTCCCCCAAGGAAGGGAAA